GTCTTCCACTTTGCTCTCATAATGTTTGAAAAATTACTTTAACTTGTCTAAATCTTGGGGGCTGGCTTAATAAATTATGGTACATTTATAAATAAAAAGAATCTATAGCCAATAAAAGTCAGGATTCAGAAGAATATTTAATGAGGGAAATGTCCATGATACATTGTTACGCATTGTCCATACGTTGTCCCTATGTTGTTACGCAAATGTCCATAATGGGGAAATGTCCATGATACGTTGTTACACATTAAAAGGTGGTCAAAAATGGTGTGCCTACTATGATCCTAAGTTTGTAATAGATATGCACAGAAAAAAAGACTGAACTATAATAAAAATTGACAGTGCTTGTCTTTGGGGGGTTGGGATTTCAAATGATTTTTAAACATTATGTATAATTTTTAAAAAATGATAGAAATTTCATTTTTTCTATAATGAACATACAGGACATTTATAATGAGAGAAAATAACTTAAAATTATTTTGACTATTTTGTCTTGCCTTCTTGGGTATCTGAGGCTTCATTTTTTTAAAATATATTAAGCACAGAGAAATTTCAGTGAGTTCACTAGGTTGCTACTCTCCTTTTTCTGACTGCACCAGGTGGGTTAGCACTGCCTTGATTCTTCCACCAGGTTTTGGTGTTTCAGAAAGGTCCCGGGTTGATGTCAAGGACAACACCGAAGCATGGAGGCCTGACTGGGTTCAGCGAGGCTGGTTAGGGCCGGCCCCACGGGCCCTGTGTCTAGGGCAGTCCTTGTGGGACTGGCGGGGCCCTGTGATTCCTGGGGAGAAGTTCAGCAGGGTGTGGGAGGGAAAAGGGGAGAAGCCTTGTAAGAACTTAGGGGGCAGTCAGTGTCCCAGTCGCAGTGTGGAATTGTCAGAAGGGCTCAAGCCCCAGAGGGATGTGTTACCAGGTAGAGTGACGAAGCAGACCATCAGGTTGGCAATGACCGTAAGCCAGGCCTTAAGGAAAGGCCCAGTTAGGAATGAAGGGACCCAAGCGGCACCCCAGGTGCTGTCCAGGAAGGGAAGAAAGTGCATGTTCCCCAAGTGCCCACTAGGTGGCAGACCCTTTCCTGTACTAAGCGCTTAGGAGTAATTTTCAAGCACTTGGTGATACTCAGGTAATAGTAATAAGGATCACAGGTAAGGCTGGTTAAAACGTGGATTCCTGGGCCCCTCAGCAGTCTGGGTGGAGCCTGAGAGTCTCATTTTTACCAAGCTCCAGGTTCTGCTAGTGCTACTGGCTGGTGGACCACACTTTGAGTAGCACCAAACATGGGGAGGGAGGAGGCAGACAGGGGCAGGATGTGGTCCTCATGGCTGAGCCATCAGTTCAAATTTCGATAAAAACTCCAAGGAGGTGTAACGTGGAGATAGAAGGATGGGGGTGGGTGGGTAAGTGTGGGTAGTGGAGGGGGATGGTCACTCACTCCTGGTTAAAATAGCCTCTGACGCTAGAGCAGATTTGAATTGTGAGCTCCACAACAGAGTGTAAGGGCTCCAGAGCTCTAATTCTAGTCAAATGTGTTACCAATTAATTTACTTAGGATGATTATAGCAGATAGGAGCATAGGTATCTGCAGATTAAAATAAAAGCAGTATCAGACCAAAATGAAAAATAAAATATATGTTCCAAAAATAAGCCCTAAAGAAAAAAAAAACATTTAAAGGTACTATAAACATAAATCAGTGATTCTCAAACTATCTGATGAAAAAGACTATTTTTTAAAAAACTAGTTCATTATGGACCAACAGATAGTTCTACTGCTGTTACTTATTCTATTGGATAGACTTTTATATAGCAAGGCAGGCATGGTGGCTCGCACCTATAGTCCTAGATACTCAGGAGGCTGACATAGGAGGATCACTTGATGTCAGGAGTTTGAGACCAGCCTGGGCAACATAGTGAGACCACACCTCTAAAATTTTTTTTTTAATTAAAAAAAACAAACAACTTTTACATACTAAGGCACATATAACTGACCAGGCAAATTTGACAACACCCAACTGGTCCATATCCTGTTCAGCAAGATCAATCCATGGATCATGCTTTTGGATGTCACTGGCAATGTCAAATTGCTATGAAAGTTTCTAAAGCTTACTTTCAATTTCTGTACTTGCATCAATAGACATGGTAATAAACACTCTGCAGAATTCCACAGTCCAAAAACCAGTCCACAAACCACACTTAGAAGTGCAACAGTCTAGCCTGGTCAGATGACTGTTTTGGGAGATGGGCTTATTGCACAACTTCAAGCAGTCAGTTTGTTTTTTGGATTCTTTCCTACAGATTTAGATTTTGTATCCTTAGGGCTATTTGGTTCTTATCATTTCCACTTGGGGTCCTTGGAATAGGGCTAGTTGGATGTCCTTTTGGCCCTTCTGTCATTTCTTTATGCTTGGACATCAAGGACTATATCCCGTACACAGTGGGCACTCAATAAACACTGATGGGTGAATGCATGGATCTGTAGCTCAGAACTGAGATATCAAGCATGCATCGGGGTTTGACAGACAGCCAGGAAATACATACCCAGTGTGGATGGACATCAAAATAGAAAACTCTCCTCTTAGTGACTATACAGAGGGAGCTGCCAAGCAGAGCAGATGGAGAACCAACTCTGTAAAGGAAAGGCTAACCATGCTGTTGTCCTGGCCTCACTGGTGCCTCACTCAATGGACACCTGCAATACAGGTGTCCATTGCAAATGAGTGAAATTTAGTGTATAAGATTCTTGAGTCATGACGACGTAGGCGTCCTGGTGGCATTTTCATGCTGAACCCAGGCATTGCCTCTCATCCCTGTCAAGGTGGACCCTGGTAGGTACTTTGGAAATGACAGGAGAGTGTATCTTACTTGTGTTCCTTTTACAATCTCGAGGAAGAACTTAAATAATTTAATTATATTTTCTTATTATTCGCTGACTTTCAGTGAAAGAGAGCTGAATGACCGCAAAACGGATGATCAACTCTCACCTCCCTGAAACCTCATGCTCTACCCGCACCATCTGTCTTGTGCCCTTCCTTCACTCCTCACCAGGCACACGGTACGTCCAAGGAACTTGATTAAATTGTGATTTAATGATGCATAGCTAATAATAATAATGATCACAGTAATAATGATAGCTTCTATTCAGAGAGTGCCATCTCAGGTACATTATGTTATTTAATTGTATTAACAATCGTGTAAGTTTGCTCAAGGACAGAAAGTAGGAAGGCTGGCTAGGATTGTAGCTCAAATATATCAGTTTCAAAAATTTGCAGTCTTAACCACTGTACTATATACTTAGGGACTTGGATACAAACAGAGATTGTTTCCTCTCACTTTCAGGGTGCAACAGCAAACTGGAAAGTGTAGGGTTGGAGCTCTAGGTACGTAAGGCCACGATTTCTCATAAATGATGGCGATATAAATGGGTTCTATGAATGAATAAATGAATGAATACGGGTACCAATTGTGAATGTATCAAATTTAGTTTATGAGGTTTTTAGATCATGAGATACTGGAGTTTCCTGTTGACATTTCACTCTAACTTGACATGGTTTTAATGCCCAGCCCATAAAATTTCAAGGTACATCTGGTCACAAATGCTAGGACTAAATCTCAATTGTATTGCAAACAAATTTTGCACGTGCACGCAGACACACACATGCCCTACATCCTGACTCCTTTGGAAAAAAAACCTTATTTTACCCTTTTGCTAAATAGCTCCTTCAATTTCTCAAATCTCCTAAATCATGAATATGAGGAACAGTTGAAACACAAACTATTCCAAAGGGAACATGTATAGTTTTGACTGTACTCAAATCAGAGGTTATGACACTATTTAACTATTATTTTTCAGATAACCCTATTTTTCAACTGAAACAATCTGCACGCTCAGTTTCCCAGGTAAACTGGTAGTTCCCTGGAGCTTTCAAAGTGTTTTCAGAAAAACTAAAAGACCAGCTCTTTTGCAGGAAGGATAAATATAATCATGTGTTTATGTTCAAGTTAGAACAGTTTGTAAGAGTCCTTCATGGCTCATATATAGGAGTCTTTGCAAACTTTCATTATTATATAATGGTATATGATTGTGAGATTTTCAAACACACAATTTAAAATTTTACCATGAGTCAAAATCCTTAAAAGAAAAACCAAAAAGATCTTTTTTTGTTGTTTTTTTTTGGAATGTTAAATTGGAAAAGAATGGGAAGTTACATAAACTTGGACATTTAAAGACACAAATGGACTTCTTGCACGTTGAAAGACACACATTGATTTAAGAAGCAAAGATTTTGGGAGCCCTAAGACAATAAAGCGATCAGTAAAAAGACATCTGTCAGGGTGGAGGCGACGTGAGGTAAAGAACAGTTAAATCTAAGGCAATCAGGAACTTAGGCCACTTTGACATTTTTTTTTTTTTTTTCTTATGAGGTGACAACCTCCTAACACCATAATCTCTCCTTTCAGGATGATGACACAAGGATTTAATGAGTAAAAGACAACAACTTAAAACCTCTCTTTTAAGCATGAATTGTCTATTTAGGTTAAAGGTAGACACAGAGAGCCCATTAGCTACCGGGACAACTGGGAGAAGAAAATGTACACTCAAAAATGTGAGGAAACGTGGGAAAAGAAATGTACACACACACGCACTTCAAAACAAGGAGTTCATATAACTACACCAATGTCTGTTTCTACTCAGATCCAAAAGTAGAATTAAAGCCAAAACTAACAACCCTTCTGCTAATTAGAGAAGTAAAAATGTCTTCTCCCCCAAGCGTCGCCAACACTACATGAAACTGCGATGAACTGCCTTCCTTTGGATCTCATTTATTTATGTTTAAAAGAAGATTTGAAGATAAAGAAGCCTAGGAACAGAACAGTTGGGGGAAACACATGGACACTATGCACTGGAAGAAATGTAGACTGAACACACAGTTACAACAAGGATTGTTTTTTTTTTTTCCTCCTTGTTGAAACATGTGATAATGGTCTAATAAAAATCTGGTTACCTTTACATTTCTTCTCTTCTGTCTGGAAGGTCTGGGCACTTGAGACACTCTGATCGTTCACCTCATCATGGTCCAGATGGAATATGGAGCTAGTCCAAGTGGCCTGGATGAGATGTGGTGACTGTTCATTTTTCAGCGAGCCGCGCCTCTCTGAATGGCTCTTCCTATGGAGGCAGGCTTCAGACATTCCTACTAGCTTCCAGTCGTGCTCTCGGTCTGGGCAGTGCTTCGGCTTGTCCCAGGCTGGAAGGCCATTTTCTAGAGGGTGGAAAAACATGAGTTGACGAGCTGTTGGCATCGTCCAGGTTTTGTTGAGATGCAGAGCTTTGGAAGGCAAGTTGTTTCTCAGTTCTTTCAGCCTGACAGTATTCACATGCCTCGACGGCAGTGATAAGATGCAGAATTTGTCAGCCTTGGGCATTTAGCCAGGGCAGTTGGATTGCCTGCCGGAGTAATAACCATATCCCCCCCTTATTTTAAGTGCCTAGAAAGACATTAGTTCCTCCATGGCAAGGATGTGCTTTTACCCATCCTACTTCCACAGCAATGGCCCGAGAGCAAGTTTACACCAATTTATGTTACTGCTTACATGACCATTTGAGGTCTTGAGGGTCAGGGCTGGCCGTGAACACTTTTCAGGTCGGTAGGACATAAAACACCCAGGATCCAGCCTTGTTTGACTTGGGTTTTATCACTGGCTGACCTGAGGGACACCCTGTTACTTAAGTGGGACAGGCTCACGTGGCCACACCAAGAGTAACAACTCTGTTCTTACCATCTTCTACCCTTGATAGCCTGGAAAAAAAAAAAAGAACTGGATTTTATACCAAATAGAAGTTTTATAAATGGCTTCAATGTTGTCCCAAATTGGCAATAAGATCAGATGAAGGGAAGCAGATAGTGTTTTAGCTGTGGAGCAAATTAGCAGCCCTAATGATGGAGTGATGAGCCCGAAAGCTCTTTGGTTGGGGTACCAGCTGGTTAATTATTTATGTATGTTATATTGTTTTTATTGATTCAATTTATAGAGTCTTGAGGATCTGGCCTCTAGAAAATGGGAAAAAATGGAATGTAATGAAAAATTTCTCACACTAACCTTTCCTGGTATTGCACTTTTATTTCCTTGAATATCTTTAGTATACATGGGGATAGAGAGCAGAAATGAGCAAGCTAATATATGTGTATATATATTTGTATGCATATTGTACACATTAAAAAACATAATCCATCTGGTCATCCATATTTGCAGAAATTCTTAGGCTACTGTTTGTCAAAATTAGAAAAAAATTAATATAAATAGACATCTCCTCTTAATGTGATTATATACAGTGATCGCAAGACTTTAATTTGCACGTGAATTTTCTTTTGTGCTGAAATTATCAAAAGACCATGGACACCTATGTCCATGGCGTTTAGAGAGACAAGTCCATCCTGCCCTGTGACTATCACAGGGAATTTTTAAGCTTCCTTGCAAACATTTAAAATGAATTTTAAATTATTTAACAGAGGGTTAAAAATGTTTTAGGTTTTCAAAAGCACCCTCTCTAAAACCGCTTGATGTTTTTAGGTGATGTTGGTTAGAATGGTTTCTCACTTTTGGAAGTTGCATTTACCCTTCTGGGTCTTTGTGTTACAATAAGAAAATTCGGATGCCTGTGCACACTCTATTCCTACTCCAGGAGAAAACCACAGCAACAATAGCAAAGTAATAATCAACACATGATTTTTTGGTCACAATCAGTGGAAATGCTGTGGCTTGAAATAGCTTAATTTGGCCAGTAAGCAATATGTCTCCTTTAAAAAATCATACAATATGCTAGCTTTTGGGTGTAAAATTTGATCTCATTCAGAGAAGGGTTCTAAAAATTCACTCTACACAAAGGGCTGTGCTAGGCATTGTATCAGGTAAGTTAAATTCTTCCTTCTCAAAGTTTATATGGCATTATTTATTGCATGGTGAATCAGAAAGGTCTGGATTCAATTCTTCAGTTTATCAAGTGGGCCAGGTACTGGTGCAATTACAGGCACTTATTCTCACTATCCATTAAAAGAAGGCAACAGATTGAGATCTTGGGAGGTTGCATTGCATTTCAAGCTAAATATGTCTATGCAGAACTCATTCAAATATCTATTATCCATGAAGATTTGAGGTTTTCATGAGCTAAATATAAAGGTACTGAATGCAAGGGTTAATTTGGGACCTAAAGAGATTCATTTTATTTTTATAGACATGAAAAGTCTTCTCGCCCATGCATGTTTCTATGCATGTTTCTACTTTATTTTCAGAGACTCTAAATCCTCAGCAAATTGCATCCTGTAAAGCTTAATTTAAATAATGTTAAAGTTCTCAAACTATTTTGTAAAAACTTCAATTTCTGATTTTTTCACAGAAATTCTTAAAATTTGGTATTAATTCCCCTGCCCCAACAGAAATTAAGATATAAAAATTGGGTAGTCACTTCTTATTAGTAAAACACTGCTTGGATGACAGATGTTGAAAGGGACTCTACCCCAAGGGGACATTCCCCCTTAAAACACAGCCTATTAAAGCTTGCTTAGTATGTCCCTTGGGCTAGAAAGAAGGAGGTTTCTTCTAAGCAGGGGAGGCTATATTTGGGGTGAGGCAAGGGATAGGGTTGCCTTCCACTTTCCAAAGAAAAGCAGCTGACATGGTTTGGGAAAAGGGTTCCATTCATGGGAGGCATTTACAAGCTCTTAATTACCGTCTGTAATTACATTCACAATAATCATATTCAGTTGCTTAATTGGCAGGTTTATGGGCTGGAGCACTGCTGGGAAACATGCAGACTGAGAAGTCCTGGTTGGGTCATGGGAAAACTCAACAGGGATTTATTTAAGGAGAATTCTTGCTTCTTATCCTCTCAAGAACAGGGGGAGCACATGCACTTCCTACTCTATTCCCAGGGAGGACTGCCACAGCTACTACACCAGGCTCCTTAAATTCTACCTACTGGATGTACTGCTGTTGGAGGGAACTACAAGTTACCTCCACATACACAAGGTTGGCAATAATGGTTTTCAGTAATTTCCTGCTATCACTATGTCCAATGTACATACACATCCTTTGGTTCCCTCAAAACTCACATCAATGGGACAATTCTTTTTGGGGGGATTAACATCCCAAAAGATTATTAGGTCAGTGATTCTCAAATTTTGTGTGTATCAGAATCACCTGAGATACTATTAAATGACATTGAAGACCAGACTTTTTGAAGTTGGAGGGGCCTGGGCACGCGTGTATTTGCCAACTTCTCCAGGTCATTCTGATAAAAAATGGAATTTGAGATCCACAGGGTTAAGACAAATTTCAGTTAAGAAAATAAATTATTGATAGGTTTTGGATTAACATGCAGTCTCTTTCTTAGACTCTAATGTTTTCCACAGCCTTGGAGTAAATTTTCATTATCATTCAAAAATTCATCCATTGTTTTGGGGTCTACTGAGTGAAGCATGAAGTCGGATGTTAATTGGATGTTATCTTGGAGATCGCAGGTATGGATGTGAATAAGTGTTTACTCAAAACACCTATTGTTCTGAGCATTATCTGGAACACAATACACATAGTAGTAGAAGTATATATATATATTTAAAAGGAGTGTATATATATATATTTATTTATATATTTAAAAAGGAGTATTCCTTTTTATATATATTTTTATTTATATATTTATATATATATTTATATTTAAAAAAAATATATTTAAAAATATATATATATTTAAAAAGGAGTATTCTATTGCTTCTCAGCCTTTCGGCTATCAAGTGCAGTATCTGTTCTTATCAGTTTAAAAAGGAGTATTCTAGAAACGATTGTATTTTGTTATTCACATGAAGCATGAACCCTTTGCTCTTTAATGGAGCCCAGCTAACATCTGGCTTTTAATACTTCACATTCACAATTAACCATTTTAATTTGTCAATTATAATGAATTAATAAATAAGTAGAATCAAAGAAAATAACTAGATAGCAATATGTGAAGTGCATTGGCCTGTGTGTCTCAAAGAAGTTTAGATGCAGCTGATTGAATTTCCATTTGATGACCATCATTGTAATGGCTTTGAATGACACAACACTGATCTAAAGGATTCTTCTGCAAAAGAGAAGCAAACATAAATCTCATTAACATAACTACCTACATCCTATCTCTGGAAATTTCATTAAAGATGATAGAAAATAAATCTGTCTATCAAAAAAGGGAGAATTATATTAAAATATTCAAGTATTTCAGGACACAAGAGCGAGCTGATACCTTAGAAAAAAGCTAAGGCGAGGAAATAGGATTATGACAAAGTGATCAGAAAGGGTCAGGCTGGGATTTCATAGCACTCATTGTGAGTGTTTAGCTTGTATTAAAAGGCCACAAATATTAGGTACTGGGACTGCAAACCATATTCTGTATTAGGGGCATGTGTATATAGTGTGCTTCGCAACCCTAGCAAGTGTGTAGAATTATCATGGTATATAGCATCAGACTGTTAGGTATGAGGTCTCTAATTTCGATTTTTTAACTTCAACCCAGAAAGGTTTAGCTTTGCTGAATTCTCAGCCTATGTACATATTAACTGATTTTTTAGAGTCATATAGGACAGAAGGAGACTAATATTTGGCTGAGCATTTACTATAAGCCAGGTACTGCCCTAGACACTTTTCTTCATCTTCGCAAATATCCAGGGAAGTACACGCTGATGGACTGCTTGATTGACAAGGAACCTAAAATTCAAACAAGCACTTCATCTGCTCTCTTTACCTTTTGTATTGTTAACAGACGTGTTCTCATTATTGGCCTTAGTTTGATGAGCAGCAATTGACCTATCGTTTGATTAGTACTTTGAACATTCTTTAGAAATTATACTTATTGCCTCATTCAATTTTCCCACTACTCATGCATATTTATGACAGGTTTCCTTGCTTTTGCTCTCAGCCACCTACAATCCATTGTCCACAGAACAACAAGAGTGAGCTTTTAAAAGTACAAATTAGAGTACATTTTTCTGAGGCTTAAAATCTTCTGATGAATTCCCATTGCTATTGGAATAAAGTCCTAAGGCCTTATGTGGCCTCAAGGCCCCATGGGACCTATCTCCCCTACTCTTCCCCTGAGCTCCTCTGCCATGGTAGCTTCTTCTACCAGGAAAAGCTCATTCCCACCACGGCATCTTGTAGAAGCTCTTTCCTGTGCCTGGAGTGCCCCTTTCCAAATCCTTATACAACCAGCTTCTTGTCATTGAGGATTCAA